ATCACCTCCTGGCAAATAGAAGGGGAAGATATGGAGGCAGTGACAGTTTTGACTTTCTTGGGTTCCATGATCACTGCAGATGGTGACAGCAGCCATGAAATTAAAAGACACCTGCTTTTTGGGAGGAAAGCAATGACAAACCTAGACAGCAGCTTAATAAGGAGAGACATCACCTTGCCAACAAAGGTCTGCATAGTCAAAGCTATGTTTTTTCCAATAGCAATGTATGGAAGTGAGAGCTGGACCATAAAGAAGGCAGACTGCTGAAGAACGGATTCTTTTGAATTGTGGTGCTGGAGGAGACTCTTGAGAGTCCTCTGGACTGCAAGGAGAACAAAACAATCCATTCTGAAGGAAATCAACCACGAGTGCTCGCTGGAAGGACAGATCCTGAAGCTGAGGATCCAATACTTTGGCCATCTGATGAGAAGAAAAGACTCCCTGGAAAAGACTCTGATGTTGGGAAAGTGTGAAGGCAAGAGGAAAGGGGCATGACAGAGGAAAGGAGAACAATCCATTCTGAAGGAAATCAACCACGAGTACTCGCTGGAAGGACAGATCCTGAAGCTGAGGATCCAATACTTTGGCCATCTGATGAGAAGAAAAGACTCCCTGGAAAAGACCCTGATGTTGGGAAAGTGTGAAGGCAAGAGGAAAAGGGGACGACAGAGGACGAGATGGTTGGACAGCATCATCGAAGCGATCAACATGAATTTGACCAAATTCCAGGAGGCTGTGGAAGACAGGAGAGGCTGGCGTGCTCTGGTCTATGAGATCACTATGAGTTGGGCAGGACTTAACAACTAAACAACAACAATTACTATTTGCATTTCACTAAGGATGTTGTGGTGCTGCGGGTTAAACCCCAGAAGCCTGTGCTGCAGGGTCAGAAGACCAGCAGTTGTAAGATCGAATCCATGTGACGGAGTGAGCTCCCGTCGCTTTGTCCCAGCTCCTTGCCAACCTAGCAATTCGGAAGCATGTAAATGAGAGTAGATAAATAGGTACCACCTCGGTGGGAAGGTAAAACGGCGCTCTCTAGTCATGCTGGCCACGTGACAACGGAAACTGTCTTCAGACAAGCGCTGGCTCTACATTTTAAAAAAGGGGATGACCACTGCCCCCTAGAGTCGGACACGACTGGACTAAAAATGTCAAGGGGAATCTTTACCTTTAAATGGTCCTTGTCCCCGATTTATCATCACAACAAAACCATGTCAGAAGCCAAACTGAATGACAGTCAGAAATGTGTGAAATGCTACTGGTTACAATTCTTGCTATCCTTATTAGGGTGGTTGAGAATGCAGATCTGCTGAGAACCAAGATCTGCATTCCTGTGCACCATGTTTCCTAGCAGAGTGGCTGGGTTTGCAATATTGGAAATCTTGATGGCAGCAGACAATTAGAGGGCCCGCGCAAAAGGCTAGGGGGCCTGCCCATAGCTTGTGGGCTACCTGTTAGTGATCCCTATGTTGCAAAGAAGAGAACTGGTGTGGAAAGGCCAAGGTTTCATGTCATGTGTGATACTGTTTATCTGCACCATTTTTATTCTATTTTCAGGTTAAAAACCCACCTGGGACACTTTGTGTATGCTTGGCCAAAACAAGACAATCTGTCTGCAGCTTCCACGTGTAAAAAGACAGAGCAAACATAAAGAGGGGTTGAGGAGGAAAGGGGGGGAAGTAAGTAGGCTTTAAGCAGGGCTGATGAAATGGTCCTGATTCCCATGATCCATTCTTATGACTCACGGAGGATTGTCAGCAACTCCTTCATATCTGAGCAGAGATTCAGAGTGGAAAGTGGCTTAATTTTCATATAAACAATACAGGAAACCCAGCTGTAGCTTGTTAGCCCTGAAGACAGAACCAGCAATGACAAATGAGGTCACCGCCTCCATTCTGAGTTGCAGTGGGAGGGGCAAGGAGTAGGAAATGAAAGCTAGAGGTTATTTTCCAAGTTCTAACCTCAAGATAGCTGTACTGCCAATCCATCCAGGCATGTCAGAATTTGTAGGGCAGGCTGAGGGAGGTTGCCCTGAAGGAAGGAAATGTCAATCAATTTAATCTTAAAAACCAAGTTCTTCTTGGCTACAGCATACACAATGTATGCATATGTAATGGAATAATCTTATCTTTCTGTGGTACAGTTTTAAGCTATCTGATCTAATTTGTCAGTGGAACAAATATGAAATTGTGGTCGCTTAGTGGTGAATTGAGAGCAGGTGGTGTAAAATAAGAAGCAGAGATTCTAGTTTTAGTCCCTTGATTTATACAGTGGCATTTTGATGGAGTATACTGTGTGGAATTGGCTGACAGTACCAGTGAATAGGGAAGTATGCTAATGACTTCTGGAAGTGGTTTAGCAATTGTCAAAGCCTAGAATGAAGGTATCACCAAGAAAATTTTTAAAAAAAGTGCTTGGGCTCTTGATGATAGGGTGTGGAATGGATCAGTTCAAATCTGAGCCATGTTGCTCTTCCACGTGTGAAAATCAAAGTCCTTCCCAGCCATTTTAAACATTACTGCACAAGCTGCTGTGTATACACATATGCAAGCAAACATGTAACAATGTTAGTTATGGGGCTATGGAGTGTTTTGAAGACTCTTTTATTTAATGTTTTTGCACTTCTAAATGGGTAATGGTAATTTGGAGCAGCTAACATGTACATACTGCTGCATGTGTTCAAAATATGTCAGCCCTGGGAGAAACAGATCCTGGTGAATCAAGGAATGCTAAATCTGCTGCACTGGCCTAGCAACATCTGCTGTCCTAGAGAAGGGTTCAATGGTATTTGTTTCCTTTGTACTTTGAAGGTGGTGAAGAAAGAACAATTCAAGAATTATTTTTGCCACACTCCTAAAGTGTCTGAATACTGCCAGGAGAAAGGCAGTATAAAAGTCCAAGAAATAAATAAATTAAGTAAATAAATGCAAATACTAGTTCTTTGTATGGGGCACCTTCAGCTGCAACCCTGCTCAGATGAATCTGTAAGTTTCTCCAGCAGTGTGGACAAAATCAGCAGGTCTAGGGACCAGCCCCTTTCCCTCCACTCTCCATTACTGGGCCCTGTCATGAAAATTCAGTAGCAAAGCACACCAGCAGTTATAACATGCATTTTGCTTGCTTTAATTAGAGATTTTTCCTGATTATTACCGAACTTCAGCACTGCAATTTGCCACCTGTTTTCAGTAGCATGGGGGGGGCGTGATTGGAAGGTTAGCAACAGTGGTGTTGGAGGCGAGATGTAATTCATAAGGTTGGAAGGAAATGGGGAGGACCTCAGGCTATCCTTCACTCACCTCATCCTGTACACTACAGGATGATATATCTAACATTTTTATTATTGCTCACTGTCATTATCTCGTTTCAGAGGAAGATGAACTGGAAGAGGCAAAAGACATAACTATTCGCGTCATGTCTTCTCAATCGGTACTTGTTACGTGGACAGATCCCGTCTATGAGAAACAGAAGAAAACTGTCACCTCCAGGTATTAGGCATTTATGTTCCTTTTTGTACCATTATGCCAAAGGTGTCCCAATTCCAACTTACTATATGTGACTGCTGAAGTATCGCATGGCAATGTAAAATAAAAATAATGTAAAAGAATGCCTTTAGACCATGGACAATATTTATTTTATTTTGTTCATTAGCTGAATTTATATCATGACTGTTCTTTGATTGCTCAGTTCAGCATTCCTTTCTCTCCTCTAAATCTTATCCTCACAACCAACCCTAAAAAATAACTGATCCAGAGAATGGCTTAGGATGGGTCAGGGATTTTCAAGCCTCACTGGGGATTAGGATATACCAAGGCCCAGTCTAACACCCTGTTCACTATACTAGATGATTTTTATTGTACTTGCACCAGAGTCTGGTGCACTTTTTTTTACTCTGCCCTCCACAATTATCACTGTATAGTGTTGGACAGCTATGGTTGGTCTGCGGGCCAGTTTGAGGGACAGGAAATTGATTTAAGCTTCTGCTTTCAGTTCAGCACACTAAATTGAAAAGGAGATGAGAACCTGGCTTTTAAAACTTGCCTTCTAACATTTTCCCCTTATTCATACTTAGCTCCATGCAGGGCAAGAAGGCCTTCTCTTGGTGGCTCTCCACCTCCTCACTCTTCTCACTACTACACTTCACTCATCATTTCTCTTTGTTCCTAGTGTGCACAATTGTCAAGAGAGAGAGAGAGAGAGAGCGAGTGGAAGGCCAAGATGCAGCTCTGTCTCCTTCCTCAAAGAGGACCAGCGAAGAGGCAGTCATAGCAAAGCAGCAAACATGGGGGTGGGGGGTGTTACAAGGCTCCAGAAGCCAATCCCTGCTGTTTGCTGGCACTTGGCAGCTGCCCAATAAAGGCAGCTCACAATATTAAAAAGAATAAGATTAAAAACAGAATTAGTTAAACATTAAAAAAAACAATTAAACTATATGCTAATTAAAATATAGTTCAATAATTAAAAACAAGTAAACATTAAAAACTATCTTAACTTTAAAAAGGCATTCAGGGACTCTGTCATGATTGCCTCTTAAAAAGGCATTCAGGGACTCCGTCATGATTGCTAAGAGCCTGCCTGAAAAGATGGGTCTTCAGCTATCCGCAGAAGGATAAAAGGAAGGGAACCAGCCTGATCTCCTGAGGGAGAGCATTCTATAATGCTAATACAGAAATAACATCTAATATGTTTTTGAGCATGCGAAGGTAGGCAATTGAGAATATTACAGGAGTCAAACACTGAAATATTCCATCATACAGTATCTTCTCCAAGACAAAGTGCAATTCGACAGGGCTTATTCAAAGGGAATTTGTGAACTGCCATGTTAAGAATGCTTATAATTCTCTGCTAAAGTCCTGCCACTCAACCCCCAGCTATCCTGGTTTCTGTGTTTCTCACGCATACATGTACATGTACGTACATGTATATACAGTTGTCATTTTTCTTGGAGTTTGGGTTTTAGATGACAGTTTGAATTAACCATTGCCTTTCCACATGCAGAAAAGTGTCTTCCACCATGGAAGGACTTGTTTTACCCTTTGTGACAGAGTGTTGTACAAGAAAGTGAATGTAATTCTGAGCTTATTTTTCTGCTTAAGAACGTTTTTCCCCCCAAAAAACTACTGTAATCTTGTGGTTGTTATAACATGAATGTCTAAGTATGTTTCCATTGAGTCCAGCAAAATATTTAATAAAAATAATTCAGGTTTCATAGAAACTGGACTTTCAAAAACCTCTTGTAACAACAGCCTCACTTTGTTCCAGTATCTTTGCACTTTTTTACAAATCCACCACATACAATAGAATGTTTGACACTTCAACATAAATTTGATATTTGGGCATTCATAAAAGAGGCTCCCCGTGTGATCCATTACCCTAAAAAATCATGGATGTGAGTCACATGCAGAAGCATCTGCACTTAAAGTAAACTCTCTGTTTCAGACTTGTCACTTTTTATAAGATCAAAGCCATAGTGCAGGAAAATGTTTCCCTTCCTCACATATTTATAGAATGGTGGAACAGGGTTTGAGCTGTTGATTCCTCCTGTTGTTTCATGTCTTCAAGTCACTACCAACTCATTGCAAAGCCTATGAATGAGTGATCTGCAAAATGTCTTATCTTTAACAGCCCTGGTGAGCTCTTGTAAACTCAAGTATGTGGCTTCTGAGCCAATCCATCTTGCATTTGGTTTTCCTCTTTCTCTGATCATTTATTTGGTATTTCAGATAAGTCTGTTTGCATTACTTAGATATGGAGTGGCTTCTGAAAAGTCTGACAGTTATTGTTGTGCACCATTTCCTGTGATTTTTGTTGACAATACACTCTTTGTATTATTTCTAGGCAATACACTGTCCGTTATAGGGAGAAAGGAGAATCAGCAAGGTGGGATTACAAGAAAATACCTAACAGACGAGTATTGGTGGATAAACTGATTCCAGACACCATGTATGAATTTGCAATTCAGATCTCAGAGGGAGAAAGGGAAGGCAAGTGGAGTGCCTCAGTTTACCAAAGAACCCCAGAAGCCGGTACGTGTTTTGTTTCTGAAAGTGTATTTGCTGTACTTGCCAGTTGTTCAGTCTTCAGTTTTAGAGATATTGGATCTGTTTCTCAGCCTTCAGATTAATTAACATACACCTATCTCACCATGTCTCCACTCAGTGTCTAAGCTGTTAATTACTTTCACAGTGAATGGATAAATGCCCTCATGGGGAAAATTGTACCTGGCAGTCAGAGGAAACTACAGTAAATGATATGCATGGCACCTGCTGCTGAGATAGAATCCATGTGCCTTTTGCTTGCCTCTTCTTTTCCATATTATCTTAGCAGAACTCATCTCATACTTTGATGTCATAACAGCTTTCTTTCCCAACATACTTCGCTCTGTTTTATTGGTTGTCTGGTAGAAGGAGGAAATGTCATGAGATAGCACAGTGGAAGCCTAAGTGCATAATTCCTGTTTTTATAATGTCCACTTTTGATCTGAAATGAAGTGAATTTTCTATTTGAAAAACAAAACAAAACAAAACAAAACAAACTAATTTCCTTTGGTAATTTCATATCTACAAGTCAGGAATCAAGATTCTTATGTGTCCTGGAACTTTTAGTCCATTTCTCAGCTTTCTATATATTTACAAAATTTTTGAATAATACAATTGATGAAAGTGTGGGATGTAGCTCTTTTTAGTGAGGAGTACCATTTAACTTGTATTTTTTCTTTTCTTATTCTGACTTGATGAGCAATATTTTTTTACTGTAACTCTTTAAGACCAGAGATTGCAACACCCTTCAGGCCTGGCCAACAGAGTTCATGACGAGGCTGTAGTGGGAACTGTAGTTGAATGACATCTGCAGAGCCATCTGGAGGGCCACAGTTGCCCACTTGGATTTAGAGGTTTTCAAATGGTCTCCAGTCTCCTTTTAAATTAGCTAAATGACTGCATGCAGTTGCTTCAGTCATTCTTCACACAAGCTTCCTGTTACTTCCTGTTATTTATAGTGCATGGATGAACTGGACTGACCTTCATTGAAAAGTCCATATCACAAAGAAGTGCAGTGCAAACCAGATCTGGGAAAAGTCTTTCTGTCTGTCTGTCTGTCTGTCTGTCTGTCTGTCTGTCTGTCTGTCTGTCTGTCTGTCTGTCTGTCTTTCTTTCTTTCTTTCTTTCTTTCTTTCTTTCTTTCTTTCTTTCTTTCTTTCTTTCTTTCTTTCTTTCTTTTTCTACTTCTGTATTGCCCAACTTAGTAAGATCACTACTTGGGGCAGTTTACATGAAAGAAGCCAAAAACTTTATAGAGCCAAGCAAGAATAGAATTCCCAATCACCCCCAATGAAATCAATGAGATATTATAACTATAATAAAAAGGTGAACACCTGACGGCATATGATATAAAATAGAATCCCTAACAAACTCACAATAAAACAATAAACCACATAAAATAATTAAAAAATATAACAAAACATAACAAAATACAAGGTCACACAAGTCATGGCCTCCCTGAACAATTCCGTTTTAACAAGTTTTCTAAATGTTTGGAGGGAGGAGGCCTGTCTCACTTCCAAAGGAAGTCTTTTCCACAAAGAGGGTGCCACTACAAAAAAAATTCCCAATTCTTGGTGGAATTTTTCTTTATTTCTCTTGGGGTAGGCACACTCAATAGTAAGGCCTGTGAGGATCAGTTTAACCAGGTAGATATGTTCTTGGGGACAGACACTTTGACAGGTAAAAAGGTCCCAAACTGTTAAAGGCTTTATGGGTCATAACCAACACCTTGAATCTGGCCATGGGAGCCAACCAGAAGCCATTGCTGGAGCTTCCGTACCATCTTCAAGGAAAACCCACATACAGAACATTGCAGTAATCAATTCTTGAGATTACCAATTTGTGGATCAAAGTATTCAGGGATTTCTCAACCAGATAGGGGTGTAATTGGGCAATCTGCCTAAGATGAAAAAAAGTGGTCCTGGTCATGGAAGAAATTGGATGTTCCATTGATAGCACCAGATCCAGACATATTCTCAAATTGTGGACCTTCTCTTTTATTAGGAGTGTAACCCTGTCCAGGCCAGGTAAATTACCCATAATGAAGCAGGAGACCCTCTAACAACAAAATATCTTGTCAGGATTCAATTTCAACTTGTTTGCCCTCATTCAGTACATTATTGAAAACAGGCAATGCTCCAGAAGCCGAACAGCATCCACTGCTGATTTAGTAAAAGAGAGACAGAGCTGTGTGTCATCAGTATATTGATGGCAGCACACTTCAGACCTCTGGATGACCTCTCCCAGTGGTTTTACATAGATGTTAAAAAGCCTAGGGAGACGATTGAGCTCTGAGGGACTCCATAACAAAAGGCCTGGGGTATGTGTGATGCAGCTCTATTACTTATTTAATATTATTCACTATTATCTTCCTTTTTCTTTCTCTTTTTTGGTTCTGCTGTATACTTCAACAGCTCCCACTAGTGCACCAGAAAACCTGAATGTTTGGCCAATAAAAGGCAATACCCCATCTGTGGCTGCCTCTTGGGATGCTCTTTCAGAGAGTGAGGGGAAAGTGAAAGGTAGGTGATGAATTTGAGACGTATGTTCCAGACCAAATAGACTTGTGAGACAAAAGAAGAAAACAAAGTGCCATATGTTGCTTTAAAATCCTAGTGCTATATTGTGCAATACTGTGTGGTGGTCTGTTGGCAAACTGAAATCACTTAGGCTGGAAACACTAATGGGGCATAGCTATGCTAGAACAAACAGAATACTGTTTTGGTTGTTGTGGGTTTTTCGGGCTCTTTGGCCATATTCTGAGGGTTGTTCTTCCTAACGTTTCACCAGTGTCTGTGGCCGGCATCTTCAGAGGACAGCACTCTGTGCTCCCAGAATACTGTTTTACCTTCAGTTGTGACTTTATATTTAGCCCTTTGATCTTGGTCATATATACTACAGATCTGATCTGGCCTGGTACTAATAGGCATTTCCTTTCCCTGGTGAAATACTGGAGATTGCAGTTCTCTGAGGGTTCTCTAAGGAAGAATCCCTGACACTTTTGTCAAACTACCATTCTTAAGACTCTCTTTGTTGTACATTTTGCCACCTTTGGCTCCAGATTTTTACAACCATCAGCATGTTTTGTTCTCATGGTTTAAACATTTACCCATTTTAGAGAAAAAGGCAACCCAAACAGAAAAGGTTGTGGGTTCAGTGAGTTTTGATTAGTTTAATTTGTTTGACTATAAAACTTTGCTGTGGCACCTAGAGATGCCAAAAGCTTTCCCTGACTCTGCTCTACAGTCCCTCCAAGTTTGGTGAAGATTAGGTTTCGGATGTTCCAGTTATACACCCACAAAGAGGGTCCCCCCAGGAAAGTTCTCCCCAGGAACCTAGAGATGTCAAAAATACAGATAAGCTTTCCATGACAGTGCTCAGTGATACTGGAAGTTGTAATCTGACATCATCTAGAGGGTCACCTGGTTGTCATCTCTATATTCGAATGCTAAAAATAAACCAAGTACATCCTATATTTGAATGTTTCATAATTACGTTATTTTGGGGTACTGCTTTGTATAGAATGTCTTGAATCTTTGCTACTTACTGTAGGCCCTGATATTTCTTATTTTAAATGAGGCAACTATGGGTGATCTGGGAGCAACACATATTGTATATCGTGTAGTTTGTCACCATACCTCAGTTGTGCAGGAATTTGTGCATTTCTTTTGGTGCTACAAGCATAATATAAAAGCTGCCCATAATATGTTAAAAGTGTCTTTAAAGAGAAAATTGGGTCCTCCTTGATCAACATCTCTGCTGTGCCCATCCTTTTCTTTTCCCGTTTTCTCTTGATTGATACTTTTGATACAGAGACCCTGGTTTATTCAGCCACATTTACCTTTTTCAAATAGAAGCAGTATGTAATAGAGTACTAAACTTGAATTTGGGATATGTGAGTTCAGATCCAAATTCAGCAACTCTGCTTAGGCTTGTTTTACTGTCTTAGCCTGAACTGCCTCACAAATCACTGTGGGGAGAAGTGAGGAGAAGGAATATACCATATTTTTCACTCCATAAGACGCACCTTTCCATAAGATGCACCATTTTTTTAGGAGAAGAAAACAGGAAAATATAATCTGTTTTCTTCGTTCCATAAGACGCACAGACTTTCCACCCCCCTGTTTTGTGGGGAAAAAGTGTGTCTTATGGTGCGAAAAGTACGGTACATGGTTGTTGGAGGAAAAGCAGGATATAAATATAATAAATAAATAAATGTGTACTGCATCTTACTGTTGATTTACAGATCCTAGAATAATATCCTTGGTTAGTAAACTGCCATTATACTGGAGTCAATTTTGAATGAAGAGAGGATATCTGGTCTAAGCAAGCCAGAATCTACATACAGTACCAAAGCCATCATATGAGGACAAAAGTGAAAGACAGGAGCAGAGTAAGGGACTGAATTCATGGACATCCATCCTTTATAATAATAGCTATTGAGGAAATATAAATTGTTGTGGGCTGTTTCTTGGAGCATTAGCAATACCAGTATGGACAGTGTGCCTTTTGTTAATTCATTATTTGATCCTCTCAGTTTATGTATATGCAGAATCTTTTGATATCCAAGGTAGCAATGATTGTCTGGGGGTATTCATTTAAATACTGGACATATATGTCCTAAAAGTCCAACTAAATGTTGGTTCTCAACTCAAGTTACTACATCTATATAATGTCTTTTACACCCCAGCTGTTGACTTGACGTGCATTGCCAGTGTATTAATTTTAGTAATGCACGTTCTAATTCATCCTACCCATACAGTCTGTCCGCTGGAAACAGGATAGTTTTCAGTTTCCTCCTTCAAACCGTCTGCCAAATCATTTCAGAATACATTCTCTCATATGCCCCCGCTCTCAAGCCCTTTGGAGCAAAGTCCATTTCCTACTCGGGAGATACAACCTCTGCCCTAGTTGACGGTCTGCAGCCTGGTGAGCGCTATATTTTCAAAATCCGTGCAGCAAACAGAAGGGGCCAGGGGCCTCAATCCAAAGCCTTCAGTGTGGTCTTGCCAGCAGGTAAGCATACTTTGTACCTTCCTCAACCCTTCTCTTTTTTCTTCTTTGGTGTTTTCACTTTGTTTCATTGAGACAATTGAATTCCTTTGGAGTGGTGATTTTCCATTTCAGTGATTATTGCATATACAGTCATGCCCCGCTTAATGATTACCCCACATTACGACGAATCCGCTTCACAATGATGTTTTTGCAATTGCAATTGCTTTAAATAGTTTTTTTTCCGCTTTGCGAAGATTGGTTCCCTGCTTCGGGAACCGATTCTTCACATTATGACAATCAAAACAGCTGATTGTCGGGTTTCCAAAATGGCCGCTGGGTGCTCAAAATGGCTCCCCGCTGTGCTTAGGGATGGATTCCTCGCCATACAGGCGCCAAAATGGCCGCCCCTGTGGAGGATCATCACTGGACGGTGAGTTTTTTGCCCATTCGAATGCATTAACAGGGTTTTAATGCGTCTCAGTGGGTTTTTTATTTTCGCTTTACGACGTTTTCTACAGCGATTTCGCTGGAACGAATGAACGTTGTTAAGCGAGGCACCACTGTAGTTGCAAGCACCTTGCTTTACAATAAACACAGTTACACTCTTCTAAGACATGGGTGGGCAACCCTGGAGCTACATGCAATCAGGCTAATTTCAAAATCTCTTTTCAACTGGCCTGTTCAGATCTCTGGGCGTGGCAGTATTTAAGAGAGAGGATGAGGTGATGTAGAAATGAGAGAGAAGAATGTTGATCATTTTGGCTAGGGCCCTATCCACTGGTGGTTTTGTGCCTGGCAACTACTAGCATGTAACTTCAGCAGATTATCTCTAAGAAATGGAGGACCTTCAAACCTTGAGATTAAAAAAAAAGCTAGCAGACATCACTGAAAACAAGGTGGGACCAAAGCCCAGTTCAGTTGTGCTTCAAAGAGTGTGGAAGCAGTGAGGGAAGAACATTAGCTTCTGTTGTCTCCTTAATCATTGAAATGTATCTGTTTAAGAGGGAGAGGATTCTGGAGCCTCTCCACAAGAGTCAGAGCTCTGATTTCTTTGGGTTTTGGTTCACATGGGGAAACCACCCAAATACAGGAACATCCTCCTGTTCAACAGTTGTATTTCCGTGATTAAAGCCACAGGGTAAGAGAGAGGGTTGCCAGCCTCCCTCAACACCTCTTGACTTTAAAACATGATTGAATAGGACTCAAATCTCAAAAAGTAAAAATAGAAATAGAAATGTTTTATCCTGGTATTGGAATGAACCTGATGTATTGTGGCCCCATATAGACTTTGGAGCCTTTCGTGGGGCTCCAAAATGAAACAGAAAATAAATTAATTTGATGGTATGTAATAACAATAGAACAGAGGCAGAACAATATGGATCAAAATAAAAAGCCTCAAAGTCTGTTTTGTGCAAACATTCACACCCAAAATGCAAATTTAGTTTTCTATTTTTATTTACTTACTTACTTACTTACTTACTTACTTACTTACTTACTTACTTACTTACTTACTTACTTACTTACTTACTTACTTACTTACTTACTTACTTACTTACTTACTTACTTACTTACTTACTTATACCCCGCCTATCTGGTCATTGCGACCACTCTAAGATTTTAAAATGTTCAAATTTTGAACATTAGCAACCATTCAGTTTAACTTAAATTCTGTTCCAGAGTTTTAGTTTCAGGCTATATTCTGTGATAATTTTCATCACCATAATCTCAAACTGGCTTGAATATGTTACAGCTAGTCACAGGAATAAGTACCTTTGGTTTACTGTGCCCCTCACCACAGTTAAAATACCTTTCCTTTCTGTACTTGTTACATATTTTAATATATTTCTGTATTAATCTCTCTTTTTTTTGTTTTGTTGTAGAAAGTACAGATGAACTGAATGTTGATCAACAAACACATACTGAAGATTCAGAACCACAACCAAATTCCTCCTCTCAGGAGCTCTCACAAACTTTATCCTCTAAACATACTTCTGTCCAACTATCCAGTTTGCCTGGTGGCAGAGATTCAAAAAGTTCTATTTCTGATCTCAAGAAGAAACTCCCAGCTGGTAATAGAAACCCCACCAAAAAACAGTTGTCCTCCAGAAAAGATGCAGAGCTGAAAGGAGACTCTCACTCCACAAGGGATACTGTTGGCCACCATGCCAAAAAAGAAATAGCGACAGAACAACCAAAAACTCAGGATATTAAGAGCAGCATTAAGTCTCACTCTTCTGTTAAACCATCACATGCTATCAGTTCCTCAGGGAAAACGCCTCATAGTTCACAAACACCTGTAAATACAGAGCAGATAAGTACTGGGAAGCAAAGATCATTACCCTCTTCGTCTTCCTCCTCTGCTGTTCCCAAATATACAGAAAATGAAACAAAGAGTTTGAGACTCGACAGTTCTAACTTTCCTTCATCCTCTGAAGTCACATTAGATAATCCACCTGTTGACAATGAAAGTAATGATGAAATTGACAGCACAGAGGAAAAGCACATTTCACATTCAGATGAGCAGCATTCTGTATCTCGGAAGGTGGTTCAGAGTCATCCACCCAAACTGCCTACCCTTTCTGTATCAGTCAAGTCTCCTACATTACCTGCAGTTGCGGGTAATCCACACCATCCCTCTTATAAACTAGTTCCTGTTGATACCAGTGATCCTTCTGAAAAGTCTAGTGGCAGAGATTCGTTAAAAAGAGAGCAAAAGCCAAGTTCTAGGCCTCAGGGTGGCTCATCTCCATCTATGCAAGCCAGGCCTCTGTCTCATTCCAATCGCCAGGCAGTGAGAGATCCAAGAGTAGCCACCTCTGCAGTTTCTGCTGCTGCCACCCATACATTACCTCACTCATACCGCCCATCTTCCACCAAACATAGGCCTAGTGGAAGAGAGGACTTTGACGATAAGGACAATGAGGGTGATGAAAATGAAGAAGGCAAAGAGAACAAACGTGGTTTGTTGTCATCAAGATCCAGTTCTAGGGCCTCTTTGGGCCAGACTGTATCTGAACGGGTTGATTTGTTGAAACATCGATCAGCTCTCACTACAAACCGACTTGCAAACAGGGGAAGTAATACTCATGATACCAGGATTCAACCTTCTAAAGACTCCTCCATTGTTGAGTCCTCTAAGGTTCATCCACACGCCAGCTCTCATCAGACAACTGGCAGATCTACTTCCAGTAGTGATAGTGATAAAAATCTGCAAGATGTAGATGAAACCCCACTTCCATCAACTCTTTCCCATGGCAATTCACCATCCTTTCCTAAATCTTCAGTAGAGTATTCCAGAAGGAGAAATCCTCAGGTTGAATCTAAGAGCCATCACAGAGATATGACCACTGAAAAATCCAATCCCACAAGCACACAAGAAGAAATCCATAGTGAAGAAAAGGATGCCACAAATACTGATTCTTTACATGAAGCTCAGCACTCTGATGCACTGATTTCAGTATCTGGCCAATCTCCCTCACTGAGCAAGCATCATTCTGGTGTTTCTCATCAGTTAACTAATGGTCAGAGTTCAAGGTCTAGAGGGACATCTCCATCTACTCGCTCAGTTCCAAGGACATCTGTGGGAAAGTCATCTCCTCTACGGTCTCCTGCTTCTAAATATCAACCTGATGATCTAGAGAGCAAAGATATATTTCTTAAACCCAAAGAGGCTTCACCTTTGCCTAAAAAAATATTAACGGGAGGTTCTCATGCTTTGTCACGTAAAACACCCCATCCAGAAACCAGCCATCATTCACAATCCCAGCCCTCCTTAAATTTGAGAACCCAACCCACACTGATACCCCTCCAAAGTAATGAAAACATGGAGGATGAAGATGAAGACAACTTAGAGGAAAACTATAACAAAGAGGCAAGTGATATGAAGAAACAGAAGAATTCTCATTCAGTCCCTGCCAAGGAAGTTTCTACACGTAGGAGAGTATCTACATCTTTGTCTCGGGAAAGTACCAGTGCTCTTTCAAAGCATTCTGATTCTCATACTAGTAAATCTGGTGAAAAATCTCCAGCTCAGCATGAGCCATTAACTTCCTCCAGAAGGTTAACTTTGCCACCAGGACAACGTACTGGGTTGAAGGTTATTACTTCTAGTGAAGATTTGTTTGATATATATAAATTGCCTGCATCTTCCCATCAATCTAAATATGTTGAGCCAGAATCTACCTTTTCAAAAGACACAGTAAAAGACCATCAACATAGTAGAGATACTGCTTTATTTTCAAAACCACCCTCAACATCTCTTAGACAAACCCATCCTTCATTATCCCGTTATCCCTCTGTTTCCAGAGTACCTTCTAGGACAGCATCCCAAACAGGCAAAAAATATGGGCTCCCGGAGCCAGCCTCCACAAAAACTGAACATTTTCCAAAAACAACTTCCTCTAAAACACACCAGTCTTTTCCAAGCCATGATGATGATGAAGATTATGATCAGTCAGAAACAAAGGAAAATCCCAAAGCATCTTTATCAGCAAGGTGGCCATCATCCTCAGTTTCAAGAGGCAGTAAAAACTTAAATAATAACACAGGTAGGGAAAAGAGTAAATCACCAAGCACTGCTTTGTCTCACGAAGCAAAACTTGTTGATGAGGAAGATTACAAGGAAGAGGAGGAGGAGGAGGAAGAGAAGGCAGAAGATGAGGAAGGGAAATACACTATTTCCAAAACATTAAATACTGCTACATTGGACAAGTCTGCTTTAACTTCCAGGTCTTTCCAGTCTTCTAACAAACCTCAGACCTCACGTTCCTCTGGATCTACTTCTATATCTTCTCAACTTCATCCAACTCATGCTGCTTCTCCAACAAGGTCCTCAGCTTCCTCAGTGTTCTCTAATCAGCGAATACAAAATTCAAGATTATTCAACCTTTCTCAGCGACAGCAACCTAGACTTCCTCACAGACAAGGTAAAGTGCACTTGATGTTTCTACTAATGGTTGTTATTAGGCCATTAACTCCCACCATAACTGGTTTACAAAGAAAATGCTTTGTTATAAAAAATGTTTTCTCATGAGGTCCCCATCAGTGGATATTGCTCTGTTCTAGAATCATCAATTCATTCTGCTAATAGGAATGAATCAGTGAATCGCTTTTATTCTTTGCAATAACATCCCCCCACATGTCTTTCTGTTGGCAGTGTGCCAGTTCTCTAAGAATTGCACCATTTTTATTCAGTGACCCAAATTCTGTTGTTTAGTGTAGTAAATTGCACTAGAGTAGGTCAATGGAATCAATAGAGATTTAGTGAGTCAGCTGCTGCATACGTTCCATTGATTCAAATAGACCTTTTCTAGAATAGGCTTATTTGAATCAATGACACTTACATAGGAGTTGACTCGTCCAACCCCACTGATTGGGCCTACTCTCGTATGACTTACTACACTATTCAACTACATTTCAATCCTAGTATACAGAATTGTGAATCAAAGAAAAATTAAAAATTAAATAAAACGAATCTCTAATTCACTATTAGAAAATATTGTTTCACTCATAAACGTTGTGTGTGAACAATCTTTTGTAGTTATGTGTCATCATGTCATGAGCAACGTATGACAACCGTATGAATTAGTGTCCTCCAAAAGCTCTATTCAGCTTTTGCAAACTCAAGGCCATAGTTTCCTCATTAAAGTGGACATTACTTAATCCATTTAGTATAGTCTTTGTTGCAACACCTTGAACGTCACTTTTCTATAGTTACGGAGTTCTTTGGTGTAACCTTTCTGTGGGATTGTAGGTACGTTGAGTTAGACAAGCTGATGTTGCCTTGGAACACTGCAATAGTGAAAAGACTTATATGCCTTGACACTTCATTTCTTCTGATTTTCTCATATCCGGAGTAAAGCACTGTAATCATTTGACTGAAAACGTCCTATTCCTGTCCACTTTAATTCATTCACATTGAGTAAAAAAGGTAAAGGTTCCCTTTGACAATTTGTCCAGTCGTGTCCAACTCTAGGCGGCAGTGCTCATCTCCGTTTCCAACCAATAGAGCTAGCGTTTTGTCCGCAGACAATCCTCCGTGGTCACGTGGTCAGCGTGACTAGACATGGAACGCTCTTTACCTTCCCACCGAGGTGGTGCCTATTTATCTACTCACATTTTTGCATTTTGCATGCTTTCGAGCTGCTAGGTTGGCGGGAGTTGGGACAAGCGACGGGGGCTCACTCCGTCGCGTGGATTCAGTCTTACAACTGCAGATCTTTTGACCCTGCAGCACAGAGGCTTCAGCGGTTTAACCCGCAGCGCCACCACATCCCTTATACATTCACATTGAGTACTGCATTACATTACATTTGTTGTTTTAGAATTTTATGTTTACCTTTATTCAAAGTTCTCAAATTCCATGTTCTAATTATATGTCTTTTGCTTTGGTGCACATAGGCCAAGAGATATCCTCTCTTATCTCCATTGGAATTATCAGTTTTGTTTTGCTGGTGTGACTGTTAATCCAGAAGGGGTGGATGAGTCTAAGCCTGGAGTCTCAGCTTTGACCATTCTGCCTCGGGTTACCGCCTCTCCCACAAAAGTCTACTCACATAATGAAAATAACCATGAAAATCACAAATCTTCAGTGCAGTCATATTTACTGTATAGTAACTAGTATATTCTCACTAGACCAAACCAGTTTAAGCAATATGTGTTTGGTCATTGTATGTATGCTAACTGAAGTCAAAGATTCATTGCATTATGCTAAATATTTTGGAGGGATTTGTTTATTTGAGCACGGCAATTTCATTGAATGGACAAGACAAGGAATATTTATTTATTTGTCCTATGTGTATTTCAGGTAATGGTGGTCGGCCCAACCTAACAACAAAACTAGATCAAAATAATAAAATATCTCCTGGTAATAATGGCAAACGACATGGACAGAAATTGATAAATGGTCCACAAGGAACAAAGTGGGTAGGGTGACATTATTTAAAAATATAAAATACTTGTAAGATTTAATTTCATATTCTTTCATATTGGAGAGCCCTTCAATCTACACATTGTTTTTAGATTGTGGATCTTGACCGAGGACTGGTGTTGAATGTTGAAGGACGATACCTCCAAGATTCAGAAGGAAAACCTCTCAGGGTAAAATTAGGAGGAGATGGCCGTACTATTGTTGGTATGTTAATATTTTCTTTACTTTTATGGAGTATGACTTATTATATTTTTAGTAAATTGCCCAGAAGGCTCTTCATTTAGTGAGTGGTAGAAATGTTCTATAAATTAACACTGAATAAGCAAAAGAATATTAATAGAAATCTGGACATAGGCCAAATGTGGAGTTCTTCCAGCAAAGTGATCCGGTTGATTACTTGATCCTATTTAGTTCCTAAGTTCCTATCTAAAAGGAGCCAAATGAAATTATCACCCATCTCTACTTGTTGTTTAGTTGTTAAATTGTGTCCGAGTCTTCATGACCCCATGGACCAAAGCACACCAGGACCTTTTGTCTTCTGCTGCCCCCCAGAGTTTGGTCAAATTCATGTTGGTAGCTTCGATACCACTGTCCAACCATCTCATCCTCTGTTGTCCCCTTCTTCTCTTGTCTTCACACTTTCCCAACATCAGGGGCTTTTCCAGGGAGTCTTCTCTTCTTATGAGATGGTCAAAGTACTGGAGCCTCAGCTTCAGGATCTGTCCTTCCAGTGAGCACTCAGGCTTGATTTCCTTCAGCATGGATAGGTTTGTTCTCCTTGCAGTTCAGGAGACTCTCAAGAGTCTCCTCCAGCACCATAATTCAAAAGCATCAATTCTTCGGTGGTCAGCCTTCTTTATGATCCAGATCTCATTTCCATACATTGCTGCTGGAAAAACCATAGCTTTGACTATGTGGATCTTTGTTGGAAAGGTGATGTATCTGCTTTTTAAGATGCTGTCTAGGTTTGCCATCGCTTTCCTCCCAAGAAGCAAGTGTCTTTTAATTTCGTGGCTGCTGTCACCATCTGCAGTGATCACGGAGCCCAAGAAAGTAAAATCTGTCACTGCCTCCATTTCTTGCCGTTCTATTTGCCAGGCGGTGATGGACCCAGTGGCCATGATCTTAGTTTTTTTTTATGTTGAACTTCAGGCCATTTTTGGCGCTCTCCTCTTTCGCCCTCATTAAGAGGTTTGTTGTCTCCACAAGGCAGCAATCCATTAAGGGGTATCTGTACTAGTAAAGGTTCCCCTTGACATTTAGTCCATTCGTGTCTGACTCTAGGGTGCAATGCTCATCCCCATCTCCCAGTTGTAGAGCCAGTGTTTGTCCATAGAAAGTTTCTGTGGTCACGTGGCCAGCACCACTAGACACGGAATGTCATTACCGAGGTGGTGCCTATTTATCTACTCACATTTACATACTTTCGAACTGCTAGGTTGGCAGGAGCTGGGACAAGTGACGGAAGCTCACTCCGTTGCATGGATTCGATCTTACGACTGCTGGTCTTCTGACTTCGCAGCACAGAGTCTTCTGTGGTTTAACCCGCAGCACCACCATGTCCCTGTATCTGTGCTAGCCAAATTCAATCAGTGCCTATTTTTCATTACAAATGTTACCTTCTTATCCCTACCTGTCATGTGCTGGTAAAAGTGAGAAGTTCTTTAAAATAGAATTGATAATCTCAGTTTAGCACCACAACATGGCTGGATGTACAGAGATTCCAATCCATATGATTACGAGCTAAGCACTAAAAGCTGTCTGCCTTGATGAATGAATGCCAGTGTGGCCTTCTCTTACAGTTGAACTATTGAAATATTTTTTCCCCATTCTATTTGGGAGGAAATCTGCAAATCATGCTGAGTCCTTTTTAAAAAAATGAATTGAAGAAAATTTTCAGACATCCTTAATTTGGATTTTCATGGATGAAATCTATATATTGGTAGATATAATGCACGGGTCGTGAGTAGAAATAGTTTGCTGTTGCATAGCATAGTAAGTTGCATTATAGGATGACCATTTTGAAACAATGGGACTTATAAAGAAGTTGATTCACCAGATTCCTCCTTCAATGCACCTACTCTAGTGAGACTATTACATTACATTATTACATTAGGCAACAGTATTTCACCTAGTGTTTCCTATATTCAAAGGAATTGGCAGATAGATCTAGTTATACTATTTTTTTCTGTAGGAGTGATGAGTAAATTTTGAGGTGGTGGGAAAGAATATTATTGAAAGAACAAGAATTTTGTACATACTTCATAGGTAAGAATTATTCTTCAAGAAATTAGATTATATATTAAGAGTGTTGATAGTCTCCACAAACCTGCTAGCCTTGGAGTCACAGAAGTGTATTTTTGATGTACTTTCTATGCCTTGTAATTGTCTGTCTGGTTCCTGGAAGAATATTTTATGATAATAACTGTATTTGAAATAAAATTACAACTTGTTTCATTTTATTTAAGATTCTAAAGGCGCTCCAATTGTGAGTCCAGAAGGTTTGCCTTTGTTTGGACATGGAAGATTTAGCAAGCCTGTAGCAAATGCACAAGATAAACCTATCATAAGTCTTGGAGGGAAGCCACTGATAGGCCTTGAGATGATTAAAAGGACAACAACGCCTTCTACAACGACTACTACTACAACTACTACTACTGCCACTACAACAACTACTACTACCACTCCTGAACCAACAACTACTGAGCCACCAACAGAGAAACCATTGCCTACCTGTCCACCTGGCAGCTATCCAGAATATGATGAAGAGGGGAATCTTGTATTAGGTCGTGACGGTCGTGCTGAATGCAATTCTGAAGGTACCATCTTTTATGCTAGCTAAGCATCAGTGTTGTCTCTTGCTGTACGGCAAATATTGTGCTATGGGGAAAGATAATTGTTCTTTCAATAAGTGCTTCCAGTTTCAGTTCAGAAGAAAAGTAAGATTCAGATGATAATTGCCTCAAATTAGTTCTTGCCGTGAAATACAAAACAAGTAAAGCTGCGCTATTATTCTTTCGCAACCATTTATGCTTTCTGTTCTGTTCTGTTTGGATAAGACAAACCAAGAGTAGATGTAGAGTTCTGTGTGATATGAAAATATGTGCAGTAAATGTACAAATAACAGGGCTACACTAAGCCAACACTTAGAAGCTACTTTCATTAGCCTCTAAACATGGAAGGCAGCTCATTGAAGAAGAAAGCCCCCTGTGTCCACACGGATTCTCCATGCACTTTAGAATAAGAATTAACACGTAAACAATTAGCATCCTGCTCATTTCTCCGTTCTCTGCCATTGCCGTAAGGGTAACATTATTGCCTGTCATGGGGTGTATACAGACTGCGTTACCACAGTGTGCTTGTAACTACTTGCCAAATGGAAAAGAAGATGCCTCACACAGTTTAGAAGTGTGGTAGGTTCAGTAGAAGACAAGTAGTTATAGGAGTACATTATGGTATGTTATCACTTCATAAATAGTTGTCTGCTCAGGCTCATTGAGATTAGTTGGTTAACCTATGTGTTGACCAGCTGTTGCATATTTTGTGGATGAACTGTTAGGGAATTAAATGTGCATTATCTTGCTGTCACTTGTGTTCTTTCATTTCTAATATCAACATCACCATGGAATGCCACATCATGAAATGGCTACCTGCATTTAGCAGGGAGATGAAATTCTTTCTGGCATTATTTATCAAAACTTCCAGTGAACAGATTAAGTAATGAGTAAGAAGCATGGGATGAGGAAACGTTTGGGCAGCAGAGGAGAGGTTGGAAGGAATGGGCTAAACAATGAATTTGGAAGATATGCAAGAGTCTCAGCAAGAAGAAGGAGAAGGAGCTAATCTCTGCTTCCTTGCTTCCAGAATTGCACTGGGTGAGTATCCATAAACCTTTCTTTTACATTCTGAATGGAATTGTTGTTCATTAATGCCTTTGGTTGTGATCTAATTAATGCTTCTGTACATGTAGAATAGCATTTGGCTATTTTTCCTGGGAGTTGACCTTTTGTGCTGCATTACAACTGCTTTTTGATACTTCCAAATTTCTGTGTGATGTGGCACAGGAATGGATGAGATTCCTAAAGAATAGCAAAGAAACAGGTTGCATAGAGCAATCTGCCATGAATGGATCTGGATTTCAGACATTATTAGCAATACTGTCAGCATCCTTGCTTTTATGTAGCAATTCATTATTATTTCGCCTTCCTAGACCAAAAACAAACAACAAAGGGTGACTATCAGAAGATGTCCATTATTAGTTGGAATGACTGTAGGAAGAACTGAAGCCAACTATGACTGTGTGAGGGGTTAATTGGAAATAGAGTGTGATCAGAGAGTGTTCTCATGGATCTTCACTGAATTTATGGTTTTTCAAAATGATGAGCACATATACATACATATATATAAAAAAGAATTTTCTAAAAATATGTTATAGTACTTATTTGGAAGTTCCTGGTATCATTTTCCAAATTATATGGAATATATATGATATACAGATTTTAGAGCTAGTTATGTAAGAATATTGGAAGTTATTGATTAGGGCTCCATAGCCCAGCTGGAGCATTATACTGTAGCCCGTTACAGGTAAGTAACCTTTCTTTCTCCCTCCTCTGGCTCTGCTCTTGAGCTCCATGTGAAGCATGCATGGGACTTTAATATCAGTGCCTTCCACCTATATTTCACTGTTAGGTTTTACCTTTCTCTAGTGGGTCTCTGTGTGTATGAAAGAAGGAATGAGCATATGGATGAACAGAGCTATTCCTGAAATTGAAATCAAGGAATATGCACTTTAAAAATTCTTACCTAGGATATGCATGTGCTTAGAATATCTCTCTAAGTAGTGTTTTGAAATCTGACCCCCTCTTTTGCTCTCCCTTTCTTTTCCAGCTTCCACTTCTCCAGCCGGCCTGGCTCTAGCATTGCTCTTCACACAATATCATTCATGGAGTCAAGCAAATCCATAGAGGGACTTGAGGCACTGCATAAAAACAGCTGTCCGTCTTCAAGGGTCCAGGATTTCAGCGCCTCCTCTGACAGTAATTCAGATGGAAATCTGGAAGGATAAGAAAGCTGCCTTCAGAATTTTTACAGCTTGCTCACTGAAACACCATAGCTATCCTACTGTGAACATTGGTCTGAAGAAGCTTTTCAGAACTTGGACTGGCTGGCAAAAGTAGAAGAACTGCCAGTGGAATGAGAACAGTACAAAAACGATACCTGCTGGGTGATTGCTTTGTGACTTTGAAGGACAGCAAATACCTTAGCAGACATATATGGCTACCAAATGCAGTCAATTTATGCCTGCCCAGAATGTTCCAGAATGTTCTCTCCTGGTAGAAAAACACAGTGGCATATTCAGTTAAATATACTGTTATTTGTCAGGAATCTGATCTATCGGCTCTTTCCAAATGGGCTCAAGGAAATGTGGTGTGGAAAAAGAATGCTGCTGTGGGTTCTTCTAACCCTTTGGTCTAATTTCCGCTTTAGGATTTAGAAAGATGAATTCACCAGATACAGATTTGTTTTACAGTCAGAGAATGCAGGAGGATCCCAAGCTTATGTGGCACTGAAAGTCCAGACAGTTAAATGTAAAAAAACAAAAAACAAACTATAGTCAACAAAGCTCTTAAAGTCATGTTTTATAACTGCTGCTATCACATTACTGGAAAATATAGGTCTCTAAATTTAAGGGACAATTATAAACTTGCAAGTATTAAAGGAATAACCTTTCTATTTTTCCCCTTTCTGAGCTTCCATATGTTCTTGGACTGAATTACTTTTAAAGTGGGTTGACAGAGTTTTTGTGAATTACCTGCATGCAGGTGCTGTCAGAATTCCATTGGATTTATTCTGAGCAGGTCTTCTGTAAGTTTGTTTGGTGCAGGGACACACAGTAAACGGGCAGGCGTCAAATAAAAGTGCTGTAATTAATAGTGAGCTCTCAAGAGAAGATGCTGGCAATGCGTTCGTAGAAGAATGAACCATTTTTCTATTTCTTTTTGTCCTCAAGGTTTACTTTGGCAGGGAAACTACCAGTCATGTTACTCAAGTTATGTTTTTAAAGTTTGAAAATATAAAGGCGCAGTCAGAGACAAAATGATATGGACTGTGCTTGGACATGCTGCTATTGTTCAAGTCTTGTTTGCATCCACTCATTTGCTACTGAAACTTGAGCTAAATGAACCAGATTTTCACTGTTAGCTTTACCATGAACTGGAATAACATTTATCTGTTCAATTTTAAGTTTAAAGTTAACAAATAGATAAATTGATATATTTATTTATCCAGTCATCTTGAAGTTAATATACTTCTAACAATTGAGAAGACTGGTAAATTTTGTGGAAAAGCTGCCATCAGTTGAACAGATGAAGCTTTAGAACCTGCAATGTAGTTACATTAGAAAGTAAAATGGATTATATGCACTGCTAGGTTGCTGTAGTCAGATGTCTAAAAAAAATCTTTTGCACCATTAAGCTACTAATAGGAAAAATGACAAATATTTGAAGATCAAATTTGATTTCAGTGAAGCCATATTCCAGTAGTGAGGAGGCAAAGGGCTGGAACCACAGATGTTAGCATGTTTTTCGTAATGATCTCACTGCCAGTAACTACACTAATTTAATAATTATGTGCTATCACAGTCACTCAAACAACCCTTCTAAGGTCTCTATCTATAAAGTCCTCAGAAGTTTGTCAATTCCACCTTCTAGCAGCAAATTTAACATGAAGAGCAATGTGCATCTCAAAGTTTTGTGCCTCCCTCCTAGAAGTTTTTCATACTTCTCCTTTGGGGGTGTATACTGTGCTTTGGAAACCAGTAAATTAGAGACGCCCAGAGGGTTGGATTCAGCCACAGATCCTGAGGATCCCAACTTCTGGTTTACAGGATAGTACCGATAAGCCAGAATCCAATTTATTGTGACATAATATAAAATTATATCAATGTAACTTTGCTATGCATTACATCCAAGCACACCAGATTGTGCAGTTTGATCCTGTAGCTGTTCATGTGGCTCCTGTCATGACCAATTGCACAATGCACTGGCAGAAGTGATTCTTGAAAAGGCTTCCACTTTGGCACTGTTGTAGCTACTGTGGACATAACTTTGAGTTATGCCCACATAGCTGTATACTGTGTATGTGTAGCAACATGTCCAAGCACAGTGCATATCATTTTGTTATCTGATTGTGCCATTATATTTTCAAACTTTAAAAACGTAACTTGAGTAAATGACTTGTAGTTTCCATCCCAAAGTAAACCTTGAGGACAAAAAGTCAGCAGTTACTTCAGCTGAGTGTTTTTAGTTTGCCCTTAGTAAATGCCCCTGACAAGGTTCTCTGCGGTACCCTGTCTGTGCACACGGTGTCTACTATAAGGATATGAATTTCATGAGTTGGGAGATTAAAAAATTTTCCACATCTAAATTTCTGTCCAGATAAAAGGATTTCCAAATTCACTTATCTTACTTACAGAGGTGAGTTAGAGACTCTATTCTTCTGTTTCTGATTTCCAGGTTTCAATCTACTTTATGCACATAGTTTTCAGTTCACATTGGTCTCTGTGCCAATGCTGAAATTTATTTCAATGTTTATCCATATTAAATTGGAAGTCATAATGACTCAAAACAGCGATACCTTACAGAAACTTAATAAAGCCTCTGTGTGTGCATGTGTGTATTATATTAAACATGCTTGCTTATTTGGTTACACAAGTAATTGAATATATATGTCATCATAAAAACACGTATCTTTAAGACTTAAACACATGTTTAAGCCATGGTACAACAAACATTAGGTAAATTATTTCATATATACATGGTACGAGACTTGCTAAAGTGTGTGTGCATCTGATCTTTATTTTACTTGGTTTCTTAAAAGAGCCTTTGAATTATTAATTCTATGAAGTTTTAATTATATAATTTATTTAAGAATATTCAAATACTGTGATTTATTCTGCTTTTAAACAATGGCTGAAGTCCTGTTGGCAGAGCTCCATTCATGCAAGGCTGATGACATTGTCAGATACAGCCTTATCTCACTTATGGAAGTTTTCTAATCTCCCGTTTCCAAGGCTCCACAGGGAAAGCCTGTAAAGATCTTGGGAGGGAGGGGGGGAAGTCTTTAGTGTCTGAAAATATGTGCCACTTGTCCCAGGCTGTCTATGGTGTGGAAATGGGACTTTGATAACCAGGCTGCCTGACCTGAGATGCAGGACATTTCAGAATCACTCTTTATTGAAGGGGAGAGCTGAATTAAAAGGGCATATTAATATCATGGAAAGATACAGTTTTAGTATATACATCTAAAACAGTTTTTACGCATGTTCTTTAATATAAAATAGTTCAGGAAACTGAGAAATATTCAAAAAATGAAAAGAAAGAATTCCAAATAATATTCATTGCAAAAGCCCACTAGCATAAATATCTAATGGGGAAGTAAATTTGTAATGTAAGGTTAACTTATTTGCTCCTGGGGCCTGTAAATTTAGCAGCAAAAGTGCCTCCCTCCTATTTGTATTGGAATCAGTGTCTCTGCTTACTTATCCTCATTTCCTCTCCTGCAGCCAGCAGGCTTTCTTGCTGACTTCTTTCAGGTATGCAGAAAATGCCAGACTGAACTGAGGCAGCTTGGACTTAACAGTTCTTAAAAGACTATATCTCAGAGGAAGGAGCACTATTCTGCTCTAGACAAGAAATCCTAGAGATTCAGGAAAGAAACATTGTTGTGTACAAAGTCCTGGAGAGTTGCTGTGTGAGGAAAAAATGCTGAATAAGCAATAATTAAGAATTTGGAAACAGTTAACTTACACTCTTAAGAATAGATACATCCAACATTTTAAAAGTAATTAAAGCCAACATTTTACACCTGAAAAAAATGTACCTGGTTTGCTGAACTTTTGCATTAATTAAGTAACCAATCCATCTCCATAACTGATTGTAACTTACAGAATGACTGGTGCTATCATTACCATATATGCAATTTGTTTTAGACTGCTCTTTAAATCCTTGTTAATAAAGTCCCAGAGAAAAAGCAGTTAGTTGCATACTGCAAATGTCTTCTTTCTTCCACAGATATATTCTCAGGGCTTGATGCAGATGTGGCAGGAACTACAGAGTCATACGTCATATACGATGAAGGTAGGAGTGGACAGTAAAAGTCTCCAGACTGGTGTATGTTGTCACTTTTCTTTCTGTTGTCTTTCAGAATGCATTCCCAAGAATGTTTTGAGAGTCACTCTAGATCATACACCAGGCTCAGTGTATCTAAAAAATAAAAGTTGATTTGTTCTTTTGTTCTTTGTACCTTTGGTCCAGGTAGAAGCTGTAGTGGCAGATCTACATAGTCCCTGACCTTTGTCCTTGCTGACTCAGGTTTTATCTGCATTGTTGTTCAAAGTATTTGGGAGAATATTGGGGTACCTTATTTTGGTTTTAACAGTGTCTTAATATGGAAAGATCCATGTGCTTTAACATGTGTGTTCTCCAATCATGTAGAAGAGGTAAGTGAATATAGGGGCTGATTTTAACATCAAGAGTAGTGTATGATTGAGGAATACTGAATTCTACCTCGACCCATAGCTTATTCCTCCACAGCACCCTGCCAGTGTATTTTAGCCTAGCTCATTTAATGTACTGGAACTTAGCTGGTGGGAAAAATAACCAAGTAAGACAGACCTGTAAGGAAGAAGTTTGCAGATTGTGGGAGAGGGAAGAGTAGCTTTCTTGACCTGCATGTACTCTTTGGTCAATATTTGACCTGCACTGTCTTCCTTTAAGATGAGGGCAGTTCAGTTGTAAAGAAGCACATTCCATTATCCCTAGATTGATCCCCATTTGTTTGTCAGTTTTTGTGTCCTAATTCTGCGTCTTGTTCTTTCTGGGGTAGTAAGCAGTATAAAGGGAAGTACTCTAATTAAATGAAATGGGGTAATTTGATGTAATATTGAGCATTTATATACCGTTTTGTATGAATGACATTCATCATGGCCAGAAAATTGTCATTAAGACAAGTAAACACAACAGTGTCAAGCAATGAAACACATCAGGATGTAAGAAAAAAAAGAGCCAACCAATGACACATTGCCATAGTATTGCCAGTAGAGGTGTGCCATTTCTGTACCCACAAGAGGTCCTCCAATGGCCTTTTCAACTATGGACCAGATTTTTATGGGAATAGACAGTTGCTAGCCTGAACTTGGGGGCACTGGACAAGTGACTCTTAGTGACCTCTCTGCTGGCATCACTTGATCATGGTAGCCTATTTGTGGCAGTGTTGAGTATAGTCTAGTCCAGTAGAAGTTACATCCTATTTTAATCTTTGTGTCACATAACCTTATTTCACCAGTTTCACATCTGATGGTCATGTTGGTACAATTGTAATTATGACACAAAATACGAGGTGCCCAAAGTATTATAGCCCTAGATGCACTGTGAGTATCTGTAGTACTCTGACTGGCACCATTGCCAGGCCTGGTTGTCTCTCCATTTCCCACAGCCACCTAGATAATCCACATCACATGCAGTAATAAAGGCAGGTGGTTGGTGGTAGAGGTGGACACCGCGGTTATTTGACTTATTTCCTCCTTGCCAGGAGAGTTGTTTTAAATTGTACCAATGTGTGTGTGTATAATTTATATTATATTATATTGGTACAATTTAAAACAACCCTCCCAGCAAGGGGGAAATACACCAATTGCTAGGGCAAATGAATTTATGTTGGCCGTGCGTCATGAGACTGAAATGAAATTATAAAAAAAAACAAACCAGCCAAATTGGTATAACTGGGCTTATTTTGACAGGTGTGATCAAGACCATATATATATATGGAGCCAGAACGTCTTAGTCCAAAGCCAGCCATGTCAGCTCTAACTGTAATTCTTAATCTTTTGTATTTTATGTCCCCCCCTCAGTCACTGTATCCAAGAACATGAATCTAATATAAGAGAAACCAAAAAAAGGCCGCCTTTTCTGAAAAAAATAGCAACATGTTTGCAGATGCTGTACAGATATCTTACTGTGCCATTTTGAGGTTTGGCCTTTTGATAATTTTCATATATTAAAGACCGGCCATCCAAGTTTGCCTGTTTAGTTCACAGAAGCAATTGAACCTGAGCACATGGAAGAAAATAGGCATTCTTCTCACATTAGGAAATCTCAGCATCATATATTACAATCTTAATCCTAATCTGTAGAGTGCGTAGCAGAGTGGTAAATCCTTTGGCCTGCCTGCTGAAGATGAAGGTGTTTGAACATCAGACTTTCTGGCATGAAAGCTGTGCTGATAGTTTATTTCTAGAAATGGTACTTGAGAACAGAGTACAGATGCATAAGGCTATGTCAAAAGGCTGTTCTCCCTTTGAGTGACACTGGACTGGGTTCGGAAACAGAAAGAGCTGGTGGTCGGAAAAGAAAAATCATTAGTGACAGTGTCTGAATGTTACAGCAGGAGCTTCTCTCACTTTTGGGAGTAAGCCAAGTTGAGAGCAACTCTGGCTGTAATATTAGCTTCTTTGGGTGACTGATCTTCAGGATTTAAGCACAAAATTCTTTCACAAACCTGAAGAGGCTGTCTTGATCACCTGTCTGCCTGCAATGCTGTGTTTTCAACTCCAGTGACAGGCCATTTTCAATTTTTCTGGCCTGAACGTGTGCACTTTAAAATTCAGTGGTCCAGTGTATTTATTGTTAAGTCTTAGTGCTAACAGTTTTTCTTTTTGTCTAGATTATGAGTTTTTTGAAACCACTTTGCCTCCTTCTACCACCACTACTGTTGCGACCACCACTACAGAAGTACTGCCTGAAACCACCTTTCCAGAATTTAGTGTTACAGGCTCAGATCCTCTGTCAGAATTTGATGCTGCAGGAAAGAAACGGTTTACTGGTAAGTCTGAACTTCCTGCTCCAAAGTAGCAATGGTATAATTTAGGGGCTTAACAGTATGTGGTACTAAATGTTTTATGTGCCATCAAGTTGCTTCCAACTTATGAAGAACTTTTATATTAGTGATCTCTAGGAGATCCCTTTGTTAACAGCTCTGTTTATTTCTTACAAACTCAGTGCTGTGGCTTCTTTTATTGAGTGAAATCAATTCATGCTTGGGCTTCCTCTTTTCCTTCAAATTTTCACAGCATTATTTCTACTCTATTGAGTCTCACATTTTCATGATGTGCCCAAAGTATTATAGCCCCAGTTTAAGAATTTTTGCTTCTTAAAGTTCAGGCTTGACTTGATCTTGCAGTCTGAAATGGTGGTCCATGGTATCTGTAAAGCTCTTCTCAAGCAAAATATTTCAAACTAATTGGTTTCCCGTCTGCTTTCTTCACTATCAGCTTTCACATCCATAGGTAGCAATTGGGAATGCCATAGGCCATCCATTAACATTATGCCAGCATAATGACATAACTTTTTGGAATGAATGGCCTCAAGATACAAAATCAGCATAAACATTATCTGTTGTGTATTGCACTATCTAGTACTCATTAAATAATGTACGTGGTTATTTGTCAATCTGAGGCAATTCATCTCCAAAAACTTTATGCTTCTGAAAATTACGCAAGAGAATTTTGGCTTTAGTATGGATAATCTTGGCTTTGGTCTCTGGTGATATATCATTCTTTAGGAACTTGTTTCTAGTTCATTTATAATTGCCCTTACAGGTCTCCACTTTTTTCAGATTTCTTGGGTGCAGTCTCCATGTGGATTGGTGATTGAACCCAAATATAGGAAATCTTTTAATAAGTGTGGTTTCCTCATTCTCACCATTAAGATGATGTAATACTTCAGTAGTCATGATCTGAAGTATCAGTTTAAAAATCTGGCTTTAGCACTTTCTTCTTTGGTCTTCCTCAGTAGTCATTTCAAGCCATTGCTGTTTTCTGCTAGCAATTTGTTATCATATACCTATCTTAAATCATTGATGTTCTTTCATCAATTTTTACTTCTCTTTCATCTTAATCTAATCCGACTTTCCACATATATTCTGTATAGAGACTGAACAAACAGGGAGATCAAATATCACCCTTATCTGACATCTTTGGCAATGGGAAACCATTCTGTTTCTCCATATTCTATTCTAACAGTAATCTGGTATATTTTGGAAAATTTAATTAATTCCTTTTATAAGTTGCAGAGTATCAAGTACAATCAACTACTGTACAGAGAGAGCATGAGGGAATAGTTTAAGTCTCAGCAGCCTACCACCTTATATGTTAAAAATTAATCTGGAAGCATTTTAAATCTAAAAAAAAATTATTTTTCTATTTATGGTTAGTCAGTAGAAAAATAAAAAGCAAAAGCAAAGCAAAGCGTGCTCCTTTTATACCGCCCCATAGTGTTTCAAGCACCCTCTGGTCAGTTTACAAGTTAATTATGCAGGCTACACACTGCCCCCCAGCGAGCTGGTACTCGTTTTACCAACCTCGGAAGGACAGAAGGCTAAGTCAGCCTTGAGCCCGGTACCTGGGATTGAAACCCGGGTTGTGAGCAGTTTTGGCTGCAGTACAGCAGTTTAACCATTGCGCCACGAGGCTCTCCTTCTGGAGCAGAAAAAAATGTGTCTCTAGACATGCTTCCTGCATGCTCAGAGATCAGGAAAAGAGAGAGAGAGAGACCCACCCATCCCCCAAAAAAGGAATTTAAGCAAACAAACAGGAAGATGAGAGAGGCAATTTTTCAGAGGCAGGAAAAATGACTTTGCCAATAGGATCGTGGGAAAGGAGAGCTTTTTCTCCTGGGAAGTCCATTTTGACTGGAACTATTCTTTACTGACAGTGCTTTGGTCCTAAGCTTTGATAAAGGAACTGAAACCAAGAAGCTGGGACCGACTGGAACTATTCTTTACTGACAGTGCTTCAGGAACTGAAACCAAGAAGCTGGGACAACCAATATCAAAGAAAAAAATTACTTCAAAGGAATTTGTGAGTAGACATGGGGATGAATAAAAAATGAATCACAATATTCCTCAGAAATTATCACTTTGTATTTGTCAATTCAGGAGGCCCCTGATGAACACAAAGATGAGTAGTTACCCTTTTTATTCATCCCTTCATTGAGCCTGGGCCAAAGAGCAAGCTAGGCTGCCAACCCGTAGGCAGAGAGAACAGGCTAGATGGCTGGAATTATGCGGCCAGGCTAGCCTGATTGCTCTGCCTCTCAGAGTGCCAATCAGTTGATCGGTGCCAGCAGGAAGCAGAGAGAGCCTGCTTGCACACTTTTGCCCATCTAGCTTGCTCTCTCTGCCAATGGTCTGGGCCCACAGGCAGAGACAGCAGGCTAGATGGCCAAAATTGTGCGGGCAGGCTAGCTTGAACACTCTGTCTCTGTGGGTGCTTCTCGGCTGATCAGTGCCAGCAGAAGCAGAGAGAGCCTGCCGGCACAGTTCTGCCCAGCTAACCTGCTCTCTCTGCCTATGGTAAGAGAGAGCCTGCTTGCACACTTTTGCCCAGCTAGCTTGCTGTCTCTGCCAATGGTCTGGGCCCATAGGCAGAGAGAGCAGGCTAGCCATCTTGAGCTGTGCGGGCTGGCTAGCCTGATCTCTCTGCCTCTGCCCAGCAGGAAGCAGAGAGAGCCGGCTTGCACCCTTTTGCCCAGCTAGCTTGCTGTCTCTGCCAATGGTCTGGGCCCATAGGAGAGCAGAGCAGGCTAGCCATCTTGAGCTGTGCGGGCTGGCTAGCCTGATCTCTCTGCCTCTGCAAGCACTGATCAGCTGATTGGCACCCACAGAGGCAGAGAGATCAGTTTTGCCTGCTGGAACCGTGGCTTCCATTCCAGCACTGCTGCCACGGCCATCACCAGCAGGTCAAGGTAAGGAGGCAAAAGAAGGCAGTGGGAAGGATGTAGGGGGCTGGCTAGCCTGATCTCTCTGCCTCTGCAAGCACTGATCAGCTGATTGGCACCCACAGAGGCAGAGAGATCAGTTTTGCCTGCTGGAACCGTGGCTTCCATTCCAGCACTGCTGCCACGGCCATCACCAGCAGGTCAAGGTAAGGAGGCAAAAGAAGGCAGTGGGAAGGATGTAGGGGGGGAGGGGACTCAGTATTTTATAAGATAGATAGATAGATAGATAGATAGATAGATAGATAGATAGATAGATAGATAGATAGATAGATAGATAGATAGATAGATAGATAGATAGATAGATAGATAGATAGATAGATAGATAGATGTATATTTAGTTAGACTTTATGGTTTTCTTTTGCTATTCATCAGGACAGTCAAGTGCTAAAGTGTACCCTTTATACAATACTCCATAGCTTTTCATGATCCATATAGTTGAAGGCTTTATTTTTCACAAATAATAGCAAAGTGGATCATGAAAAACTAGGGATGTTATAAAAGACATGGGTGTGAACAAGAGCTGCTGTTGGGACAGAACATTAGGACAGACTTCTTTTTCTGAAATTCTTTGGCATGCTCCAGTGTACATTTGCAATATGCTCTTTAGTACTCCCACTTTTTTTTGAATGCAGATGGAATAGCTGACATTTCTTGCTCCATACATGGTAAAAGTGTTCATTGCAAAAGCTTGAACATCCCTTTCCTTGCAGAGGAAATTAATGCTAAATGTAGGAATTTGTATATTTAACAATAATTACTCTTAACCTGTTAGGGTCAGGGTATGTTTGAAGGAATCTTTTTTATTTATTGGTAATAATTTATTTTATTTTATTTAACATGTATGCCGCCCACACTTCCCAAAGGTCTCTGAGCAGCTTTCAACAATTTAACTACAGTAAAAAAGATAATATAATTAAAATACAATTAAAATATATACTCTAAAAAGTGCCATCAGGACCCACAGTTGATATATTTCAATTAAAAGCCTTCTGGAGCAGGAAGGTTTTGACCTAGCGCCGAAGTGTCATCAGGTAGGGCTGTAGCTGGTATAATTTCCGCAGCTGAAGGAAGGCGCCCCTGGCCACCGAGTCCACCTGGGCTTCTAGAGTTAGACTGGGATCCAGGAGCATCCCCAGGCTGCGGACCCTGTCCCTTAGGGGAAGTGTAACCCCATTCAGGGCAGGGAAATGGCCCTCCAGCCTGTCCGGTGAAGCACCCATTAACAGCACTTCTATCTTGTCGCGATTGAGTTTTAATTTATTAACCCTCATCCATTATCAAGTCCAGATACAAGTTCAGTACAGAAACCGCCTCACCTGGATTGGTGGAAAACGAGAGGCAGAGCTGAGTGTCATCAGCATATTGCTGACTCCTCAGCCCAAACCTCCTGATGACCTCTCCCAGCGGTTCCATGTAGATGTTAAACAGCATGGGGGACAGTATCGAGCCCTGAGGAACTCCATGACATAAATGCCATGGGACAGAGCAACTGTCCCCCAGCACCACCCTCTGGACACGATCAGCCAGGAAGGAGTGGAACCACTGTAAAGCGGTGCCCCAAATAATGGTAAAGTGGTGGGTTTGTGGAGATTGTGGCTGGGAAAAGAATGATAACAAATTCTCCATCCTTGTGGTATTATTAAAAAATGGTTTGGCAGTTGCCTGGAAGCAAACCAGCAACTAGTATTTTCAATATAACTGGCTCTTGTCAATAGCCTAGCTACAACAGTTTGAACCTACTGGAGATTCCATACACTTTCTAATGGCCGACTCATATGATGTAGTAGCTGTAACTGTGCAGATGGACTCCTGGCCACCATGTTATTTCACAGAAGTTAAAAAGATAGCATCAACAGCGAGAGGGAGAGAAAGGCAAAAATGAACAGATACATAAACATGGTATAGTGGAAGAGAAGATTATAGGATTACATATCATGGGATATCAGGTGGGACTGGATTCCATGGCATTGCTGCTAACCATTTGGCAATACAGGGAAAATGAACATGAAGAATTAAAAGGGAGCCACTGTTTTCTTGAGGTCTAGC